CCCACACCTAAGTGTCATCAGCAAATTTGAACAGGGTGCTTTTTACCCCCTCGTCCCAGTTGCTGATGAAGATGTTGAACAGTGCAGGCCCGAGAACCAAGCCCTGCAGAACCCCACTGCCCACATCCCTCCAGGTCAAAAATGACCCGTCCACCACCACTCTCTGCGTGCGGCCCTCCAGCCAGTTGGTGACCCATTTCACTGTGTGGGTGTCGACACCACAATCCCCCAGTTTTTTAATGAGAACAAGGGTGAGAGACACTGTCAAAGGCCTTCCTAAAGTCCAGAAAGACTACATCAACTGTGACACCTGCGTCTAAGGATTTTGTGTCCTGGTTGTAGAAGGCCACTTGGTCTGACAGGACCTGCCTCTAATGAACCCGTGTTGATTGCCTCTAAGCATGACCTCCCCCGCTGGCCCCTCGTGGACATACGCCAGGATAATTCTCTCAAAAAGCTTACCGAGGATTGAGATAAGACTGACTGGCCTATAGTTTTCTGGGTCCTCCCTCCTCCCTTTTTGAAAATGGGAACCACATTGGCCCTTTTCCAGCCCTCTGGCACCATGCCAGAGCACCACAAGTGCTCGTAAAGCCATGCCAGGGGTCCCACTATGACCTCTGCTAATTCCCTCAGTACCCTGGGGTGGAGATTGTCAGGACCTGCTTAATTAACCAAGCCCTTTACATTTCTTCCTATTTTAAACTCTTTATGCTAAGAGAATGAGGCAGCACATTGTTGCCTATGAAAGTCCATGCCTCTGAACCAGCAGGTGCCATCCTGCTGTGCTTTCTTTTGGCCAAAGATTATCTTTCCTACCCCAGTTCAGAAACATGTTGTAGTACTCAATAACAAATCATGAGTCAAATACCTGCAGGCAGATGACTTTGTCTCCAGGCTGGGCAGAGCTGTCCGGGGAGTAATCTCCATCTAGCACTGACTGTTGCCTTCCCCGGGTCTTGCCAACAGCCACCGGGTTAATGGCTTCTAGATGGGAAGGGTTAGGCAGCAAGGTGACATGCACAGGGTGGTGTGACCCAAAGTCTAGATCAACAGAGGATGTCAGGTGGGAAAGGACATCTCCAATCGCAGGTGAATTCTCTGGGAACTCGCTTAACCCACGCATCTTGCGGAACATAAGCTGCACAGAAGCAAGCACAGTTATACAGTGCATCAGAAACAGGCTTGGTACTTAGGTTTCAAATCTGGAGAAGTTTTGATTCACTCTGCAGGTATTCTGGGAGAACTACAACCGTAGCCTTAGAGTCCTTTTGCTACAGTTGGCAGAGCATTTTCATGGGGAGATCTGCAGAGCTAACATTAGGAAGAAACAGGCACTCATGTGGGCAATTAGGTTATCACTTTGTACTCAAGGGCTGGCAAGGAGACAGACACACATTTAATTATTTTCTTAGTAAACAGCAAGTTGCTGCCAGTGAAAGCACCCATCCCTTACCTCTGGTGGAAACTGAAGCAGCCCAGTGAGGAGATTAAGCCTTCCGCGATGGGGCATGCCAAGAACTACGTCCGTCACCCCACAGTAGGCACACATCTTGAACAACTCATGGAAAAAGCCCATCATACTCTCAGCTCCTTCACCCCCATATCGCTTCACCGTGGCAAACTTGGTGGCCAAGAAGTGGTCAAATTCCTGTTAGAAGGAAAAGCCAATTACTGGATTGCAATATTGTTTTAAACACTTTCTAACAAATGAAAGCCACAGCAACACAATTCCATGCAGAAGAGACAAACTAAGCACATCCCAACTCACCTCAACACCTTCCCTACAATGCTGCAGTGTACTCGATGCCCACACATACCAGATATGTGCAACAGAAAGCCAGTCCCAATTTGCTGCCTATTGTTTGCATCTGGGTTGTCACATTTTGGCCTGTGGAGGTCGGTCATCCAACCCACAGGGCTTTTCTCTGGCTGGATGACTTACATCTAGACCCAGCCCACAGGGCTTCTCACCCCAGGTCCCAGAGCCACTGTGCCAGCTCAGCCAGCCCCTCTTATCCACTGTCAAATTTCTCATTTTCAACTGTCAGCAGTGGGGTGGTGAGCAGCTGTGGCATTAACCCCCACACTAATACAGCAGCTCTGGCAGCTGCAATGAGAAGCCCCGAGGGCCAGATCAGGCCAGCAACATATTGGAATTTGATCCCCACAGCTTAGAATATAACAAACATCAGTTACCTGAATATCAGGTAAGTGCATAAACTGCTTAAGTGTAAGCATCTGTTCATCTGTTGGGATGTAGCAGCAGTCCTTTTTACTCCATTAATTAGTGCCAGAAAGAGTGAAAGGGGAGCACCTGCTATTAGAAACCCTGATGTTAACAGGAAGTATCAGTTTCATGGCTCCTATCACAAGCCTTGAAAATGAAGGAAGGGAACAGCTCAGAAATTGGCTAGTTCTCCTCATTTTCAAGGCTTCTGATAGCAGCCCCGAACCTGATTACAAGCCTTGAAAAATGAGGGGAACTAGTCAGTTTGAACGCTGATAGTACTGCACACTCCTGTACTTAACTTACGTTATGTTCAGATAAGTGCATACTGCAAGTCATGACAGAGACCCTTTTTTTTTAGTCCCAAGGCTATACACTTAAACAAAACAAGCTGTACCACCCCACGCAGGCCAAGACTGCAAGACTGCAAATGAATCCGAGAGACCAACCAGGATCTAATCTCACAGTGCAAGACATTAGAATTTGAGAATCACACGTTGCCACCAAACTGCACAGGCACAAGGGGATGAGACACAGAAGCTCAGAAACTTGCATCATCTCTGAAGTGGTGTTAACAGATTTCAGAGAGAAGTTCAGAAGCCAAGTTCATTACCATTTGGAAAACTCCATAAAGATGATTAGAACCAAAATGCTATTGAAGTGCAATATATTATTATATGGGTCCTAGGGTGATCAGACAGTACTGCTAAGGCAGTAGGGCAGAGTGGAAGAAATTCATTTATAATTAGTGCCCTCCAACTGTTTTTGTATACAAGGACATTTGGGGGGAACCTTTCAAATGCTAGCAGGTCCTGTAATGTTTACAGCTACAGAGATCGAAAATAGATTCAAGACTGTAACTGAGAAGAGTAGATTGAGCAACAACCAGAGACCCTGACTGTCAGCTGTCCACTTACAGTTACAACAGTGCTATTGCACACAGAGCAGTTTCCTGTAAGCTTTTATTTCTTCATCCTGGGTGGAATTCTGGTCCTAGTGAAGTCACTGTGGGCTTTCCCACTGTCTCACTGAGTTCGGCAAAGCCAGGGTTTCACCCTGGGTTAGCAACACAACTCTGTGCAACAGCTACTAAAGCAATGAAGCTGTCAACTAGATCAGGGCTGTCCAGTTTCTAGACCCCAAAGGCCACATGCACCAGTAGGGCCTACATCGGGCATGCCATGCAGATGCTCCCCCCAACCCACTGCTGCACTGGGTGCCTCCTATACCGCTGTGCTGCATGGACACGTGTGTGCAATCCCCACTTCCCCAAGTTGCAGCCCTGATCTCCCCATTGTCCTCATTAAGCATGGCCCTGGATCCACCCTCAGCTCTCTCCACTGCCTCATGCCTTGGGGCAAAGGCAGGAAGCAGCAGCCAGAGAAAGGAGTGGGAAACCTGAGAGACTTGCTATTGCAGCCAGAATGATGGTGAGGGGAGGAGTAGCAGTTGAGTGAATGCCTGTGCGGGGGGCATATTAACCCCTTGTGGGCTTCACGTGGCCTACAGGCTGACAGTGGGACAGACATGAATGAAATTAAATAAACCAGGTAGCACTAATGACCTGCCAAGGAGATGGGTGAGGTTTAACATTACCTATCCAAAAAGCTGGAGACAGGGACACCTTCATGTAACCTGCTCTTGTGCCCTTGATCCACGCTGAACAAAACAAAAGACAGTGCCACAAAACAAAACCACCCACAAAAATTTATGATATGAAAACTATTTGGCTGGTGTCGCATAGTACAGTCAGCCCACACACTCGGTCAGGGAGCATTTCACTGCCCCTTGCAGGGAACGAGGCAAGACTGACTTTGCCAAATACTCTGCCAGCACTAGATGCGTAGGCAGCTCCTCGGGACAACACTGCCAGAACCCTGATCTCACTCACATTCACCTCTCTAAACAAAGGCAGGTTTCCCTCTTTCCCAAAATGATCCCTATTGAAAGGGACTAGGACTAGAAGATGACAAGGAGACAGAGAGTGACTGAAAACAGAAGCAGAAGCTGGGAAGGAAATACAGAGCAGTGTAACAGCATCACATACGTCTTACGTTCCTTTGAGGGCAATGCCCAGTTGTTTCTGCAGCCGGCAAGTCTAATACAAAAACATCAGGCCAGCAACTTTGGAGCATTTCCTCTTTTTTCAGAATATTCACAAGTTGCCCTAATGGCATTGTTAGAATGTCAAACGTTTTGCAGAATATCACTTAAATGCACTGCGTGCTGGGTTTCTTTTTTAAAATATGCTGTGCTATGCCATTCCCTCTTCTGGTTGAAGAGATCCATTTGGTCTGTCACTGGCCAGAAATATTTTCCCCTGCTAAAAAACACTCTCTGAAACACTCAACTCATAGCTGCAGAGCCTTGCAGTTTCTTTGAAGAATCCCTATTCTTGTGCCTTCTGCAGTTGTCTCCAATTAGAATTATTTCATTTCTGTGCTACAACCTTCAGACAAAACCCATATCTTGGCCATCAGAAGTAAATGCGTGTGTAGACCATAACTTTTTTTTAGATTAAAGACTTTTTTTTTCCCTTTTGATCTGGTGTTTGGACAATGGACATTCTAGTCCATGACTAGGTCTCTATGAACCAATGCCATAAAGACATGCAGCGTACCTGGGACTCCAACATCACCTTGGACAAATGCTTTTTCTCTTCAGTTGTAAATGCTTCTTGTTTTAGCTCCTCAAACCTTTTAGCAAACCAGTGTCTCTCCTCTGGGCTTGGCAGCTGGCTCGTCTCTATAGAAATGTGCCCGCAGTATATGTGATCAAGGTAAGTCAGCACATCCTCTAGGGACGCTTCTTCTTTCCCCATGTTCAGAAGTCCTGGCCAGAAAGAGATTGGAAGGCACATGGGGGTTAGCCACTCTAAAGAAGGACACTGCTGACTAGGAACTGCAGTTTGAAAGCAGTTTCACTTCCTGCCCCTCTGTTCTTCATTTGAAGTCGAAGGTCTCAAGAAACTTTGTAATTACCATTACTAGTACTTGGAACTTAGATGGTACTTTTCATTCTCCTTTGCAGTGTTTGAAATATTACTCTAAACTCTTCCAGGGCAGGGACTGGGTTGTGATGTCTCATGTTTGTACCGTACTGAGCATTGCGAGGCTCAGAGATGATCAAGATCCTTTGACATTTATTTGTATTGTGCAATGCTAATTTCCCAAATGGACAGACAAGACATGCAGAAGTTCTGAGAGTTGCTCAAGACCACGTTAAGTTAGTGGACAGAGCTAGGAACAGAAGTCAAATCTCATGACTTCCACTCCAGTACCGCAGCCACTGCTGTGTCTTACCATGTGCTGTAATACTGTATTATCATTGAGTAACCTGGGTAGCTATCTGAACAGTTACAGGGAATACTTACGTGATTTCAGCAAACGTGATAACCTAGGTTTTGCAGATGTCACAGAGATAGAATAAAATAATGTAAACAGTGTAAAATCAGTCAAGAGAAATTATTTTTCATTTGGCATTACATCACTGAACAGCTACCTAACACCTGGCTATGCCATTCAGGACAAAGCAGGTAATCAGTCTGTTGTGGTGAGATTGCTATATTACCTCATGCTCATTTAGCAGCAGAGAAGAGAAAATTCAATGGTTTTATATGACAGATTTCAAACATGGCCCAAGTGAGCTGGGCACCGGAGCTGGTCTGCCCACACAATGCTGTGCCCCATGAAGATACCTGACCTAACTGGGGATACTGCATTATGCTGGGGAGATGTGCTCTGTAGTACAGACTCACCTGTGATGTTGAAAGGCCCTTGAAGAACTTCCGACAGCATTTGAATTTCAGGTACCATATCCATCACTGCTTGACCAGCAAACAAAGGGTTAATTTTGGCGGCTTTGTGGCCATGCTCATGGTACGCCCCTACTAAACGGGCAAGACCGTGGTCAACTAAATGTACAAAAGGGAAAAAACAGAGAATGCTGTTAGCACGTACATTCTTCACTCGTTCACCCTTGGGACGATACCCCCACTGACATGCATCCAAAACGCTGCTGTCAAAATCACTTCCTGAACTCAGCTCTTTAACCCATACCACTGTTCTTCATTTATCCCTCCACTTCTTCCCCATAGACAAACACGGCTTGTCTTTGCTTTCAAGGTGCTTCACAACCTGTCTTCACGCCACCTATCCCCTCCCACTGAATATAGAGAAGGTGACTCCCACCTCCACATGGCTCACTGTGCCAGCCTGCCATGCCCAACTCACTAGATTCCCATGCTTTATCGCACAGCACACCAAAGGGGGGCTCCCATTAAATATCTGAAAAGCCACCTTGTTCCCTTATTTCAAATCTCTTCAGCTATGATGAGCACAGGAAATTCAACATGAGACCCCTGATGTGCAGTGACCCCGGCCCATCATGCTGATCAGCACCACCTCACTGCTTCCAGGGGCTGCCTGCATCCCTCTGTCATCCCCCGTAAGCTTTCTGAGGCTGGGACCATACGGCTGCATTTTTCCTAACACCAGTCCCCACAGAAGCACCTTCTAGAGCAGGGGTAGGCAACCCCCGGCATGGGCGCCAGAGTGCGGCATGCAAAGGCATTTTGCTTGGCATGCGCACCTCGGGGCAGAGGCTGGGGAAGGAGCCAGGGCTGCGCTGCCACAACAAGTGGACATAGTCATCTGCTTGCATTCTCCGTCTGGGGACAGAGATGGGCCTGTACCCTCTGCGCCATGTCTCTCCAGCCCCATACAAATGCGACTGCCCCAAGGCTGGGAGCTGTGAAGGGTAGAAATAGATGAACTGCTCAGAGTGGGAGGTTAATCGCCTCACTTGCATAATCCCTCTCACTCTGCAGATGTTGCATGACTACATCGCCCCAGCACTTAGCTCCGGGATCACCATCAACGGGGACCCAAGCTGCAGACAGCTGCAGACAGCCCTCTGTCTCCAAGACGCCTGCTTGGTTTTTGAAGTCCCAAGCACCAGGGGCAGAGGAAGGCTCAGGGGCCTGTGCTCTTCTGGCAGCAAATCATCACAGATTCACAGAAGTTTAGAGGTAGAAGGGACCTTGTCAGATCATCGGGCCCAGCACCCCTGCTCTGGACAGGAAAGACTGCTGGAGTCAAATAACCCCTGCCGGAGCAGCTGTGCTTGCAGTGGGGCCTGGCAACCCAGTCTGGTGCCCACTGCACATCAGCCTGATGTCTGTCCCTGCCACTGGTCCAGCTGCAGCAGAGCCCTTCACAGCCCCCCGCCTTCTGCCCCGGGCACGCCAGCATCCTACAAGTCCAAGTTGCAGGTGTTTTTGGTACTTTGCCCAAAAATGCTGCTGCATTCAGCCAACTTATCCCTTCCCCAGGGCAACAGGTGCCAGGCACCCCGGCGCCGCTTGGAGGGAAGGGCTCAGCCCAGCTGGCCCCGGCGATCACCCACAAGCGACTCCGCAGCCTTGGACGTTGAACCCTGATGTCGCCAGCCGTGCTGCGCACGGAGACCCCAATAACCAAGGCAGCCGGGACAGACTGACCCCCCACAGGCAGACACACAGACCCGGGACAGACCCCCCCAGGCAGACCCAGACCACCCCCAGGCAGACCCAGGCCCCCCCAGATAGGCAGACCCCCGCCCAGGCAGACACACGGATCCCAGGCAGACCCAGACCCCCCCCAGGCAGACAGACCCTCCCCCAGACAGGCAGACAGGCTGGACTGACCCCCTCCCAGACAGACGGACGGACGGACGGACGGACCGGCCCCGCCGCCCCTCGCGGCGCGGCGCGGGCGGTAGGCGT